CATGGAGGTCGCCATCTACAGGGACACTGCGATGGGAGGTGAGGGATGCTCAGAGATTTTCCTGTCCCCACACTCTGTCTCCTTGATGAAGGCACCAGAGATTCCCATACTGCAGTTTCCTCCTTGATAACTTTGTAGCATGAAAAAAGAGGCAGGAGGGAGGCAGGTAAAGCCACACCATTGGCCCAGGGTCCCCAGGGACAGCCTTGCGGTGAGGACTAGACTCCACACAGTAATATACACTGTCCGGCCCCAGCTCCGCATCTGCAGGTGGTGTGTTCGGCAGACAGAATGAGCAGGAGGAGCAACGGACTAAGCGTCTGGAGACCCAGGTTCTAGTCATTTCTTCACGAACTTGGGCTTTGCCATGTGGCTTGGGAGCATCACTTTCTTGGACTTCAGTTTTCCATTCTGCAAAACATGGCAGATAAGATGGACGTTGGATTAGAAGACGCCAGAACCCCCTCCAGCGCTGACATTCCGAGATCCCAAATGCCTGTGTACAATGGCAGGAAGGTGACCGAGACCAGTTTGCCGGTTCTTTCCAGCCAGGCAGCCGGCCTCCCCAGAGTCTGTTAAGAAAACCCCCAAAGGAGAAAGTGCCCAGTGGTGCGGCCTTCCCAAGAAGCACTCGGAGCTTCTGCTCTTCTCGACACTTCATGTCCCCATTTCATCTCTCTCCACGCTCAGAGCTTCCCGCCGACTCCTGAGATGCTCCTGTGGGGAGGAGAAGGGTAGAAAGAGGTGGCTGCGTTACTGATCCAGCTCACGGATGTGAACTGCCCACCACATTCCGGGGGCGCCTTTGGGTGCTGAGGGGTTCAGAGGTAGAAGGGGCCCAGTCCCTGGTTCCCTAAAGAGATCACCCTCTCGGGCAGGAGTCAGTTACGAGTGATTAAAATATGGATAGAAAAACGTAATAGTCGTGGTGGACGCACAGTGAGATGGGAAGGACAGTTCCGCCGGAAGGGGTAAGGGAGGCAGGGAACATTTACAGTGGGCCTTGGAAGATAAATTTCCAGTTGGGCAGAGAGGGAGAGAAAAGTTCTTAATGTCCCTGAACTGTATACTTAAAAATAGTTAAAATGTTAAAAGAGAAAAGGTGGTGGGAGGTGGGCAGATCATTCAGGAAGGAAGAAACTATGTTCAAGAAGTATTCAAAGCAGGAACAAATAAGACGGTTCAGGAAGCAGCAGCTGCAGCTCAGTGTGGCTGGACATGTGGTGCCTCGAGGAGGGTGACTGAGCGAGGAGCCCGGCTGCAAAGGGCCTTGAGTGCCATGCTAAGACATTGGACTTTCTCTGGGTACTAGGGATCCATGGAAGGATTTAGAGAAGGGGAGGGACATGATTGGCTTTGTGTTTTTGGTGATGTGTCTCCGGCAGATTGGAGGCGATTGGATGGGTGAGAATGGAGGCAGGGAGTGCGCTGGAGACTGCGCAACGTGGGTGAGCGGGGAGGGCCTGGCTGTGGGCATAAGGCAGAGGTCAAGATTCTGAAGATGTTTCTGAGGAAACCACTTCTAGACCTGGTGACTGACAAGAGAGAGATCTGAGAGGCAGGCAGGGGCAGACAGTGTCCCCAAGACCAGGTGGGAAATTCTTGTAGCGCTGGACTACTGCCGCCCGCCCCCCTCTTTCTCAGTAGAAGAGCAGCACCTGCAGGTTACCCTCCCCTGCTCCTCTCTTTCCTCTGAGCCCCAGAGATCAGGGTCTTGCCAATCCCATTTCCAGCCTGCACCCTGGGAGCAAAGCTCATCCTGCCCATGCCTGCAGGAGATCCTTCCCACTCCGCCCTGGGCTACTTTCCTTAGTGCGCGAAACCATGGCTACAGTCTTGGGCTCCATCACCATGGGGTCCGCCGAGGGCTGGAGCTAAAGACCCCCCTGAGACAACAAACACCCACTCATCCAAGTGGAGCCGTGTCCCTCTTCAGTCTGGGAGTGTCCCCGGTGTCCTTACAGCCTTGGGGTCCCCTGGCATGGAAGCCAGGCACTTCATCCAGATCCCCATCCCATTCCCTCCACCCACAACAGCACATTGTCCTGCCCTGAACAGGCCCGAGGTAAAGCCGCACTTCTTAGCCAGTGGGGCTGAATGGCCTCCTCAAGGAACCCCATGGTGTGGGCCTGGGGGAAGGCCAGCAGAACACACAGGAACTCGGCACCTTCTCACAGAAGAAGTAGAACTTCTCACCGTCCTCCTCGCGGTGAGTCTCCCCCAGCAGGCCCAGGGACAGGGGCCTCTGTCTGCTCCTCCCCCTGGCAGGGTGGGCAGAGCAGGACCCTGCCCGAGGGCTCAGTCCCCATCTGGGCGGGTGGCCGGAGGCAGAGCCGGCAGAAGGTGTGTCCACAGGTGGCGGTCACCACATCCTCCAGGAGCCCTGTGCAGGCAGGACAGCTGGCCCCTCGTGGACCACCTGCAGGGATGGGGTTGAGGGCATCACGGTGTCTTCCCCAGTCTGTCCCCTTACGCCACTGCCCCGGTCCGTAGGAGCTCCCTTTCCCTGAAATTGAGTGGCACTTAAATGAGTCACGGAGGGAAAGGACCAGGATGCCAACGGAGAGGAAGGCAGGAA